CCCTGCGTCGCGGCAAGATCCGCCCCGGCCAGTCGGAGGGGGCAGGGGGGAGTGCCAGTGCCGTAGGTGGGAGGAGCGGAGCGCGACGACCTTCTGGATTCCCCTCCTTCCCTCCCTCCCCCGCCGCCGCGGCCAGGTGTCCGGGAGGCGCTGCTGCAGCAGCAGCAGCCGCTCTGGAGGGGCGCTGGCTGTGCTGGCGCGCGGGGCCCCCGCTCCGCGCCGCGCACCGCTCCCGCTAGTAGGAGGCTCGCCCGCGGCCCAGCCAGGTGTGCGCCCGACCCGACCCGAACACCTCGCGCGCACCAAAACTGCAGCGACCGCTGGATTTTCTCTTTCGTTTCCGTCCGGCGTGAGTGTGTGCCTGTGTGTGTGATAGTCTTTGTGTGTGAACCTCGCCCTCGTCCCATGCAAAGGTGCCACACCTGCACCTAAGGGCCGGCGTAGACCGCAAGGTTTGTATCAGTCTCCCGAATCGCACCTTGCATCGACTCATTCACAAGATCCTTTGGTGCAGGGCTAGGAGTGTGAGAAGGACCACTGGCCTGACTGGAAACCGGCGGCCTGGGCAGCGTCAAGCCGTCAAGCCCTTTCCGATGCGTCTTGAAAGGCTACAAAGGTTTTGAATGTTTAAAGGGCAGACAGTCAACCATTTGGCTGGTTCAACACATGCAGGCCACTCGGGGACACTAGCTCCTGCAGTGCAGACCAGCGTAAGGCTGAGGTCGTGACCGAAGAGGTCGAAGAGCGACCGACCGACACATACCGCGTGGAGAAGCAGACGAACGTCGTCGTTCTCTACGAGCCGCCATAGGCTGCGCAGGGGGCGGAGAGGGGGAGTGGCCCCCTCGCCTCCCACTACTCTGTGTGGGTCTTGAGTCTCCCCAGCAGCCTCTGCTGTGCTGCAGTTGTCAAGAAGTGAGGTTAGGTCGCCTTGATCAACTCTGCTGCTGTTTGCGGCTCCCTGACTGCCTCCAGCCCGATAGCTCCGCTCGTCGCGATGTCGTGATGTGATTGTCTTCACTAGCGTCCTAATCCACCATCCACGGGAGGACAAAATACAGTAGAGATACAGATGCAGAAGACGCAGCCTCAGGCCCAGGCTCCCCGACTGTGTTGGCGAAGCGCGCTCGGGCAAAGCGCCGATCACAAGCATCACTAACGTGTGACGATCTCATGATGGTCTCGGTGTCCCACCGGCGCGAGCTGCGCCGAGGATCCCGCGGGCAGCCGTCCGTGTCCCGGTCGAGACCTCGCGGGCCCGGGGCGCCAGGCCAGGGTCACGCGCTTACTCCCGCATCGCACAACATAGCTCCGAGACCACGGAGATGCTTACTCACTCCATTACATCCACCGCGAAATGGAGTTCTGGACGCCCTGAAACTCCTCGAACGACGGCTTCGTGCGTGTGGCGTGTGTCGGGCGCGGAGACTTGGACGCAAGGGGACGTGGCGGGCCGGGGACGGGGCGGCAGGAAGAGGGGGTTTTAGAACAACACATGTGATACTCTCACGGGCCGCCGGACGGGAAACAATCGGGTGGACGTCATGCACATCGACACGTCAAAAGGCACGCGTCGCGTGCACCGGGCAAGGGGAAAACACCAGGCGGAAAAGAGGTTTAGGTCCAAAACGTCGCTGTTCGGAGCATCCAAAAACGAGGGCACTGGGTGTGGCGAGTGTGTGTAAGCGTCTGCGTGTGTGAGCGTGCGTGTGCGCGCGCGTGTGTCTGTCTGGGTGCGTAGTTTGACTGAATGGGACGAACAACAGAGATGGTATGAGAAACGGCGATGACTGATGATGATAACGTGAAGCGTTTGGGGCTTCAAAGGGCGACTCATGGAGATACACGAACGTAAACACGCATTCACTGCGTCGTAGCCCTCGCGTATTCGTCCGGATCAAAATCGAAAACGTCACGCGGCCAACGTCCAAACCAGACGATTGCAGAGAAGCGAGAGGAGTGCTCTGAGGAAAACATTAGTCATCCATCAGTTCCACACTCCCAGACGCAATTATCATCGGTTCCCTCTTGGGATAATATAGTTTTTATAGATTATTCCAGTTCGTATGACCCTTTTAGGAACTAACTAACTCCAGCGAAGAAATCGTAGTTATTCAAATGATATTTTTTGGGGGAAAAGTACTACCAGAAAAACATCAACACTCCAAGCAGCTGATGGGGGATTTAGTGCCGAGAGGCGTCCTCGTTGAGGCAGCTTCACTTCACTTACTTCACTTAATTACCGTAGGTCTCAAAATACCTCCTGGTCTTCGCAAGGCCGAAACCTCACTACTTGGGGGGGAGGACGCCTCACGAGACTAAATCCACCATCATTGCCTCGTCTGCTTGCGTAGGTAGACTGTGCTGCAACACACCTGTGCGTGCGGGTTGCCTAGTCGCTCGGGCCGCAAGGCGCCTTGGTCGGAGACGATACGGTAGGCACACCTACCAGCCGTGTGCGGCGCGCAGTTTGCTGGGCGGGGCTGGGGCCATATAATCTGCCACTGCTTGGTGTGTGGTCTACACCTACGGTTTCCCAGTACAGTGCTCCTGTGTTGCTTTTTATTGCCCAAGCCTTCTTATTTCCCTCCCTTTCCTTTCATCTCCATTCCGGCGACCGGCCAGCAGAGCAGCAGCAGCAGCAGCGTCGCTTTCCCCGACACAATGCGAGGATCGCGTGCCGGTGGGACGTTGTCATCGGGTCCAGGAGCGGCACCTGCGCCGCCAGAGACCGCTGTTGGCTAACAGCGCTCTAGAGCTGACATTGGGATCATCCAGAAAGTGCGTCTGTTTTCCCCCGGATTCGTTCAGCATATTTACGGGAACGCTGCTCGGGGCGCCTGCGAGACTCGGGGTAGGCCACCCCGCAGTACACGTATGCGCGGCAGACATGGTGTTGCCTACCTGTCAGGCGCTATGAGAGCTTGCTTGGCTAAACTTGGCAGGTTCGCAGCGGCGAATGACGCAAGTACTTTCTGCTTGATCTTATAAGGATCATGCACATACTACGTATATGCACGAGCCAAAAAGGCACCACTTTCCGCCTGTGGGCGGGCAAAGTGAGGGCCGGGCTACTGGTTCAACGCCAGCGTCACTGCTGGACAGAAAGCGCACGCCACTGGCGAGCGCAGCGTCGGGGAAGTCCGCGCCGCCGCTGTCCTTATACTGCAGCGCCGACACGGAGCACACTTCTTTTCGACACACACCCGCCTCCCGGTATGGACTGGACCGCGCGGCGGTACGGCTGGCGCGTGCGGCTGTGGACGAAAGTGAGTCGCGAGTGGGGAACTCGTTCGTGGAGGGAACAGAAATAAATGTGAGGGGTGTGCGCACACTACAATGAAATCGGCTGCTTGACTACCAACTTCATCATTTATTTTCCGCAGCAAGAACACGGCAGCATGGCGGCGTACACACTCCCATCCTATGGGCAGCTTCTCTCTCGCACTCCTCGGCTGGGTCAGGGTCTCGCGATGTCAGTGCGTGTTGCACATGACGCCATTTCTATCCCGGACATTTTCGACGCCGGCAGCGTTGCCAAGGCGAAAACAAAACATCAAATTGGGTTTTGACAAACTTAAGACAAAAATATGGCAGACACACTGATATAAAAATCAATACCACGGCAGCAGAGTGATACTTCTGATGCACTGGAACCATAAAAGGCAAACTTAATGCCTTTCTAGTGATGTTACATTTTGGAAATGCTCAATAATGTGTAAACATAGAAAAAATTCAGCTTCTTTTAATAGTTTGAATGCCTCTCTATGGTGCAAATTTGTTTTGACTTTGCAAATGCAACCCGTTTACTCCTACCATTGTTGTTTCACTTTTCACTATAGTTAGGCCGTGGTGTCTCTGAATCTCCAGTCGGGTCGCGCGGCGGGCCGCCCGGCCTAACAGAAACTGAAAGTAAAGCTGGCGGTCACTGAGCCGTCTGTGTGGGAGGGAAGGCCAGCCGTACAGCGATACACCGCCGGAAAACCTTCTGTCGTCTCTTTTGCCGCGGCAAACCCTCGTATTTTCGATGTTGAACTAACGTGGACGATCCGTGATCCGTCCCTAGGGTGAAATGCATTTTGTTTGAGCACGACTTGTGACTTGGCTGTGGTTACATCGAGGGGTCCGCAACTAGGTTCGAGCGCGTACACTGGCCGCCCGGAAAACTAGGAAGACCGGGAAGACCACGAGGAAGACTAAAGAAAACCGAAGAAGACCAATAAAATCGTAGGCCACAAATGTGACGGAAGACCAAAAAATATAAGGGAAGACCGGAAAAACTTTAGAAAAGACCTAGAAATTGCAAGGAAGACCAGTAAATGTTAGGGAAAGACCGATGAAAATGCGAGAAAACCGCAGAAAACTGGAGGAAGCCTTTCGAAATTCTCAGAAAACGAAGATTGGGAAAACCAAGAAAAAGTTGGGAAGACCGGGAAAACCTTAGGAAAACCTAAGAAAACTAAGAAGCCCACCACATGTGTACACTGGCAGACCGTACTTGCGGACCCCTCGGGTTACATTGATCGGATTTGGACGAAACGTTGCTTATTTGCAAGGCGGACAAATTATCTTTTAAACAAGGCATGTTCAGTTTAAATCCTAGATCGGGAACCACATTCATTCGTGCTCACAGTTTCATTTTGGGACAACCTACCTGTCCTATCAGAAAGGGTTGTGGTCTCTGTATTGGTCGTACTGGTCGTAGTGTCTGTATTTTGACGTCAAAATGGCAGCCATAAGGAACCATGTGACCTCAATATACAGTCAAAAACTGCAAGTGACCCTACATGACCTGACATTGGGCGCGCACAAACGAAACGATAGGCACGTGGAGCTCATATGATAAAAGCACGCGCGGAGAGCGAGTAATGCCAGGGAGCTCGAGCCTCTTCTTGCCTTCCCCCTTTCATGTGTTTTGCTGCGTTCGGGTGGTCCACGTTGATGCCAATTCAGGGATCAGATAAAGTGGAAATCGCGGACTCGTCATTGGCCGCTTCTGCCGGCAGATCCAGGGGCCTGCCACTGAGAAATTCACTCGTCGAATCAACTGCGTTAGGGATGAAATACTGCCTGAACGATGTCGATTTCGAGTCGATCGGCCTGAATCTCGTATGTTGGCGGTTTTAGATTTTTGGACCGACCTGACTGAAGCAAAACATATCGTGCGGCCAATATGTAGGACCACCCCCTAGAATCGATTAGTAAAGTCGTATCGGCTAGTGGTCCGCTCTGGAAGACATCTCAGAGTGACAGACTCGTGCCCTGCTCGCACGCCCTGCGGGTCGCCCCGTCAGCCCCGCCCCGCCCCGACCCGCCGTCTCCGTACATGGCTCACAATACGTTGCGCCATTGGCCGCGTGCGGTAACGCTGCTCGGGTCGTCTGCACTGTCATAATCCTCACGTGGACGATCTGGAAACACAGAAAGTAAGATCGTGATCGTGGTTTTGCTTCCCGCGTTCTACTCACTGCTTATGAACGAGTTCACGGTAAAAACAAAGTGTGTGTTTTTGAGCCGATTCTCTACGCTTAGAGGCAAAGAGCATGAGAAGGCTACCTCTGACTTCGAGGAGTCCTCTACACCATCATTCCCTTCATACTTGTAGGACCAATAGTGAGTTATTAGCTTGGATTGACGAATATTTCGCATCTCCACGAGAATGGTAGTGAGAAGTTGGCGAATACTGCCGAGCTTACCGAGCTGTGGTGAGGGGCTGATGTAGGAACTCGGCTACGGCAGTTTTGGGAAGAAGCAAAATTATTAATATCCCCCCCCCTCCATAAACACACTTAAGAAAGAAGTGTTAAGTGTTGATGTAATTTATAGAAACGTTCAGGTTTCATTGGTCCTGTCGTTGTAATTTCTTTTTAAATCGGTCAACGAAAGTAAAGCGAAGTAAAGCTCCCCATGCATCCCATGCCATCCTCGGAAGCCACAGCTCCGCCTACCTCGCCACGCCACGCGAACTAGAGCGGAGACCGTGGGTCATTTGCATAGGGCCCGAGGTACGCATACGCAGCGGCACTCGCGAGTGCGCTCACCGCACCGCTAGAGAGGGACGTGATACACACCACGCCTTCACAAGGCGGAGGACAGCCTTGTTGTGTGTTTAATCGTTTCATCCACAGTTTTAGCACATCACTGGTATGACAAATTTTTAACATCTTTTGACCTAGTGTCGGTGTTGTACCCGAGTACGAACGGCCGTTCTGATGAATATTACACAACCCCTTGTCCCACGTGCATTCGACGCAACTAATTTCATTTTTATTTTTCGCAGTGTGTGTTTATAATTGCACCTGTTGATTGCAGACGCGGCGCGCGGAGGACGCCCCGCCCGGAGGTGCAGGGAGGGCCCGCCACGCCCGCCACGCCCCGCCGCGCCGCAGGATGGAACGCCACCGCCGCTGCGTCTCGTAGGGGCCTCGCCCCGCCCCGCCCACCTGGAACCCACGCAGAATCGAAGCTGGAGTCCGGCGCGACCTTCCCTGGCGTGCCAGCGATCCCCCCACTGCCACCGTCGCAAAACTCACCGAGACGAAAACGCTTCAAAGCTCTGAAAAAAAAAGAGCACTCTTCTCTGGCTCGAGCTAAACTGCGCGTAACCAGCAACTTCCCCCTAACATCTTTTAGATAAACTTGCGCCTCAATGCGCGCGGCTTCGACTCAATTTTGAAATTTCGACGGTCAGATAGCAACCCCTACAGGCCAAGATGCCGCGCAAACTGCTCAAGTTCCTCATCCTGTTCGACAATACCAACCTCCTGTACTTTCCCGGCCAGTTCCTCAGCGGCCGCGTCCTGGTGGAGCTCGAGGAGGACACCCCGTCGCTCGGTGAGTCTCTGGCGCCATGACACGCCCCGCTGCTCGCCGTCGGGCGCAGACGTGACGCTCTTATTATTCGAAATAAAAGATACTAGGTAGATAAGAGAAAGAGATAAAAATGAGCAATAAAGGAGGGAAGCTGAGCTGTCCCGTCCAACCAGCTGGTATTCTCCGCCGACGGGGGAAAATAAAAATCGTTCCCACAGTCTTCGTTTTTGCACGCTCAAATCCGGGTGCGAGGCACATCTTGCTTGGACGTTTGCCTTCGAAATTCCACCGAGCCGAGCCGACGTCCAGGCGGCGCGCACAGCGACGCAGGTCTCACTCGCCGACGCAAATCGGCGCAAAGTGATCCCGTTAGTCGAAGCCTGGCTGAGCCCGGCCCGGAGCCTGGCAGCCTGGCCCGGAGCCCGCGGGGCCTCCCCAGGTCCCGGAGGTGGCCGGAGGCGCGGCCGCCGGAGCCGGGGCGCGCGCTTGCTTGGGCCGCTCGGGTCGGAACCAGATTGGCCTGAATGTCACCTAGGCTGCGTGCAAGGGGCGGTGCTGGCCGAGCGCCCCGAGGAGCGACGCGAGCGACACTCTCGCTCGCCCTCGCGCCTCGCGCACGCAGCCCGCTCACGGCCCCACTTGCTACCCGCTCTGCCCGCAGGCCTGCACTTCCATGTGATTGGCGAGGGCGTGGTGAAGCTGCGGACGCCCCGCAGGGACCGGCCCGCTGACCGAGAGAGCTACATCGACTTCAGGATGCGCCTCCTGGGCGAGCCGGGTGAGTTGGAGCCGGCCAGGGCAGCCTGGGCGGCGTCCCCCAGTCGACGCAAGAGATGCAACATTCGACATGATGCCGTGTCCTCCTCCTCCGCCTCCCTACAGGCTCCGCGCCCGTGGTGCTGTCCCCGGGCATCCACAGCTTCCCGTTCAAGCTGGGGCTGCCCCTGGGGCTGCCCTCCACCTTCCTCGGCAAGCACGGCTGGGTGCAGTACTACTGCAAGGCCGCGCTCCGCGAGCCACAGGGCCTGGTGCACAAGAACCAGCAGGTGTTCATCGTCATGAACCCCATCGACCTCAACCTGGAGCCGCCCATCCTCGCGGTAAGCCCAGCCTCAGACTCCTGCTCTCATTCGGGGGGTCAATAATTTAAGCTCAAAAACAAGAGGACATACTCCATCACATAAATTCATACATCTCAGGTTACTTTTCCACCTGGTCACTAGTTTATTATTACGATATTATTTCACAATTCTGTCAGCATTTGCCATAAGTTTAAAAAACCAAGCCGGTTTTCCTCCCATTGAAACGAACTCCCTTGTATCTGTGTTCCAGCAACCCTTCCGCTGTGAGATTGAGCACAAGCTGGGCGTGAGCTGTATGGGGTCCGGCCCCGTCCTCTGCCGGGTCGCCCTGGACCGAGGCGGCTACGTCCCCGGGGAGACGATCGCCATCTCGGCCACGGTGCGCAACCACTCGCGGGTCACCATCAAGAACACGAAGGCCGCCCTCACCGAGGTGAGTCCATACCGGTCAGGGCGAGAAAGTTAGTCTGTTGGAGTCCGCCGCAGATTGCCTCATGGTTCAATAATGCCGCTTCCCGACAGACCATCTCCTACATGAGCGGCGGCAAGGTGGTCCACATGGAGACCAGGGAGCTGGCCTCCCTGCGTCGCGGCAAGATCCGCCCCGGCCAGTCGGACGAGTGGAACAACCAGCAGCTGTACGTTCCGCCGCTGCCGCCCACCAACCTCAGGGGCTGCCACCTCATCAAGATCCAGTACGACGTCTACGTAAGTCTGCCGAGCGCCTGTCGGGTTGGCCCACCTGTCACGCACTGGTGTCGCGCGGGTTTGCCTACCACCCACCGCCTGCCTTTATAGAGCGCCTAGTGGGTTGGCCCGTCTGTCACGCACTGGTGTCGCGCGGGTTTGTCTACCCACCGCCTGCCTTTGGAGCGCCTGGTGGATAGACCCGCCAGTCACGCACTGGTGTCGCGCGGGTTGGTCTACCCACCGCCTGCCTTTAGAGCGCCTGTCGGGTTGGCCCGCCTGTCACGCACTGGTGTCGCGCGGGTTGGTCTACCCACCGCCTGCCTTTGGAGCGCCTGGTGGGTAGGCCCACCTGTCATGCCCTGGTGTCGTGCGTGTTTGTTTACCCACCGCTGTCTCTCTATTCTCTTATTCGTTTTATTACTGTGGGGGTTAATTGTTAAATGTGTTGTACTAATTATGTCCTTTAATCTATTTCTGTTATTTTAGTTCATCATAGTGCCCAAAAGCCTGGAGAAGGAGATTAAGCTACAACTGCCTATTATGATGGCAACGTACCCACTTCGCTCCAACGATGGGACCCTTCGCCGCAAACACAATACCCACTACCCAACTACTTTGCCGATTTTCAGGCCTTGGCTAGAGGAGAAGGCAATTGAATAACCCTAGAAAGCACTGCAGAGGGAAGTACCAGTGATGCTCACGCGCTGGGGAATGCCATAGAATGAAGTAGTTAAGTTACCCATTATTGTACATGTGTCCAGAGAGATTTTAACAGTCTGTTTTTGAGAAACTGTTGAGCCAAGTGGGTCACCCCATATATTATGTGCATGTTCGGGGCCTTTACATATTTCTCATAACATAAGTGTGATAAAGTTTCATGCCAACCAGGGGTTTCAAGAAGAAAACATATCCAGGCATATATTTTAAGAGTGACCTACAGTACTTTAAAAACTAACATGTAACTAAAGATCAAATTAATTTTAGCAACTGCCTATAGGCATATTTTATAAAATAGTTACATGTTACTGTTTTGAGGAGACTGAATGAATTTCTGCTGAAACTGCAGACACGTTGATATCCTTGTTTCTTTCTTTTCTCACACACAGGAAGATGTGACTAAGCAATTTAATGTGTCCCTACCCCTTCCACCTTCTATGTCATTTAGGAATTGGATAACTGCTTTAACACTTTAAGTGTGACCTGCGCAAAGAGGGAGATGCTTCACACTCTCTGTGTTAATGATACTCAATACATAATTAATAAAATACCTTATTTAACTTTAAAAATGGACTAACAGTAATTACCAAGAGGTTCCTTTTGTGAAAGAGGTGTGAGACCTCGGAATAAACAAATGTGAATTATGTTAAATGTAGGTGTACTGATGACAACCCTACCATCAGAGATTCGTCCGAAAACACGTCATAGTGATGCCAGTTTTCATCATTTTGACGTTTTGCGACCAATCTCTGTGGTTAGGGAATGGCAAAACTGGGAGGTAACATCCATTGTTGTTTAAAGAGCATGTCTGATAACTGGTACATTTGGATGTACAGCCTTGTGTTGACCCTTTATCATAAGTAACTTGACACAAAGCTCTACCTTCCACTGTTGTTATCATAAACTAAAATATGCAAAACCATTAAAATGTGATATACTTTTTTTTCAATAAAATGAGTAAATTTCATTTGAAACAAAATCCACTTTAATATTGGATAAAAATAAATGGCTGTTCTTAAAAAAAAAATTGTTGTTGGTATTTACCTTATTCTCCATAGTTACGCTAATCTTTAAGTTAGCAGCAACTGGAAACAGAACTGGTGTCGTTGTTGGTCGTCCTCACAACCTGCAGTCGAGGTGCGGTGGTGGTAGATGGGGAAGCTGGTTCAGATCCCGTCTGCGGAACAATTTTCCCGCTCTGCTGCCCATGGGTTTGCAGGGGTCCCATCCCTAGGATAGGCCAACATCAGGTTCGGCTACGGGAGTATGTTCTGACCATGGTCGATGGAAGCGGCTGTTCCCACGAGCACAGAAGTCGCTGAAATGCGCGGTATAATGTCTGCCCATGGGTAGCCCACATACAGGGGATTTGTAGCTCAAATTGCCTACCTTTCAGGCGGTCCACTAGAAACGACCCCCACCCCCTATACCACGCCTGGTAGCTAACGATTGCAATGTATGGACGTACTTCTACTTTTCTGTAGTCTGGATGTCGGCAGCCCGAGCGCACGGCGGTGCAACGTGTGGACTACCCCACCGTCGTCGGGCGCTATAGTCTTGGACTCGTCGATGGGAAAATAAATAAATGACGACGACACACGGACAGAAAATCGGCATTGTCTCGGTGACTCCCGACGTTACAGGATACAACAAAAGAAATGTAACTTACCACCCATAAATCTTCAAATGTATCAAATTTACCACAGTTTTCAAATTTACCGCAGTTTGTTTCTGACTTCTGATTGGACCACGCAAACACCACGTCAGGGATTCACAGTCAAACGACATAAACAATGGTATTCTAGAAGATTTCATTTCAGAAGGGTAAATTGAAATTGAAGCACTTTCTTCATCACATCAAATTGTTGAAAAGTCTTATCTCTAATCTGTGAAACTACAATATCGACTTTCCCTCTCATAGTTTCAAAATTATTTTTTTATCGGAAGTTGGCAACAGTATCAGGCGCCTAGTGCTTTCTGCTACAAGTAAATACACATGCAAGGACGGACGTCACTGCACAATCACACAACACCGAATCTAAGCGAGTCAGTCGTTCGCACGAAAAGCATCGGATTTCTGTATCGGCCTGTGGGTTATCAACCTAGTCTTGCGAGCAAAAGGTATGAGACACGAGGTAATCTTACAAAGAAGTATAGTTTACGCAACCTATGTCGGAGTGGACCCATATATAACCCTCGTGTTTTACTTTCACTTTTCAATTTCGAACTGTTGAGATCTAGGATTTGATTTTGATCCAACTATGCTAGTACATTTTGGTGTCATCCTCATGAGGGTACTCCCTCCAAAGTTAGGGTTGTGATTTTTTTCTGCATCATAACAGATTGTGACATCACATCCATATGGGGACTTATTTGCCTAATGTAGCAACCTTCTTGATGTCTGATAAGTTGACACTATTCTGTAATAATTTTACTTGCTGCGGTTTTTCAGATTTGCAAACTTTAAAAATGGAGCAAGGTATTCTGAAATTGTATGCCTGTCTACTAGTCTGCCTCGTTGTCTCAGAATGGGTAATTGCAAATGACGAACAGGATCACTATAAAGTCTTGGGAGTGGAGAAGACAGCAACTAAAAGACAAATAAAAAAGGCATACAAGCAATTGGCGCTAAAATACCACCCTGATAAAGTCCGAGGTGACAAGAGCAAAAAAAAGGCTGCTGAAGAAAAGTTTTTTAAGATCAATCAAGGTGGGCCTTGAAATTCTAACTATGTTGAAGCTCATTAAATTCAAGTTGTCCAAAAATGTCACAAATACAATTTTTCAGCTTATGAGACACTATCTGATCCCAACAAGAAAAAACTTTATGACATGCAGAAAAGTGGTAATCCCAATCCATTCACCTCTGGATATGGTGGACAACAATTTAATGGTCATGCTGGCCATGACTTTGGATTTGATTCAATGTTCTTTGAAAATTTTGGGAGACCACAGAGACCATTCCATTTTGCACCTGAATTCCAACAAGGAGCTGGAAATTACTTCTCTTTTGACAATCTATTTCCTGAGGTAAGTTATGAATTCCCTGGTTATTTGTCTTAAACTGTGTGTGTATTAGTGTGTATTAGACTTTTCGTTAATCTAATCTATTTCAGGATCATCACCCATTTTTTGAGGATCATTCCTTTGGGGACGGAAGCTCATTTTTTGGAAGTCACTTTGGTGGTCATGCTGGACATCATCATGAAAATCACTATGCCCATCATTCTGGACACCACTCTGAGCATAGTAGACCAAGGCAACATCAGAGTCATTTCTCCCACCATCACGCTCAACAAAGGTCTTGTCGAACAGTCACTCAAAGAGTGGACAATGTTGTCACTACTTTTATGCAATGCTCCTGAATATTTTTATGTGTTAGGTTGTGTTTTCTACAAATCAAATTTTCAGTTTAAATTTTTGAAACACAAATCATAATAGTATCATCAAATACCCCTTGAACTGTGATATAAAATAAGCAATTAGAATTGATGAATATGGTTTGATAAAGTTTCAAGTGCATGTGTCTGCTGTAAAAAGAATTTGTTGCACAAATCTGCTTGTCCTTTTGTGTTTTACGCATTTCCTGAAATTTAACAGTGTTGCTAGATGAGTGCTTGTTTTAGCATTACATTGATTACCGCTATAAAATCCAATGTGCCTTAAATGCAGTTTGAAAGATAATAATACCCTTGAAATTGACACATTTCAAAATGTTTCATAAGTGTTACAGTGGTATCCAAAATGCATTTTACCACTTTTTATATTTTTGTTTTTCCTTCTGTGATATAGTCTTTTGATAATATTTTCTTGTTGGGTTGAACTATAGTGCTTTTAGTTGTATTCTCATGCTTCAGATACAGGTTCTGTTAAATGAAAGTATGATTGAAATAGAGCAATTCAAAAGACTTAGTTGTCATAGCAATGTTTAAACTTCCACGTGCCACATTGAACATATCAAATTTTCGCCTAACTTGAAAGCAAATAAAAATGGATAGAATTTATCTGTGTGAACTCTTGAGAAAAACATATGTATCCAAGAAATGGGTATCTATGACAATCGCATCTCAAATGTACCTTTAACATCTGAACTGATGCAAATGCTGATTTTAATTAGTCTATAATTTAATAATATTAAGTATTTTCTCAAGTATTTTTCTTAATGTTTAGAATGTAACAAAACAATGTGCCCAATTTAGAATAAAGTTTATACCATTATACTTTATTTTATCTTATCCCTCACTCTGCCTCTCCAAGAAGTGTCACACCTTTATAATACTCCAAAGAAATACACAATTACAACAAAAACAAGAAAAACTTTATTTTTCACAATTGATACAATAAGACCCCACATTAAACTGAAACCAACATATTGTTGTACATCCATGAATCGTCCCCTGTGCGATGAAAGTACCTTGTTGGGAATGATGTTCCAGTAGAAGCGCGATGTTTCTCTCCAGCTCGCTGCTGTTCCTCCAGCTAGAATGAATGCAAATACAAAAATACACCATTAACCCTTGTTTGAAACTGGTTGAAGTTTGTAAGGCCATCAGCACCGAAGAAGGGTCCATACACTCCTCTTGTGGTCTGTTGCTCTTGAGATATCATTTTCTGCAAGTGCATTGGTAACCTCATACCACAATCGACGGGACTCCATATTACCCTGCTTAGAAACAGGTCTTACCCTCTTGCGGATAACAGGTAATCTTGTTACATCAATGACTTTTGTGTTCCCCTATAATTAGAAAGAAACGGAGTACAGAGATATTTGTTTGACATTGACCAGAAGCAGTTGATAAAGCTTTCTATAAAAAAAACTTACACCAGGATAAATAAATTCAAATGAAGAGTTCCATTCTCCTTGAATTTTGCAAGTACTTATTCCAACGTCGTTTTTTACTTCCCCAGTTACTTGGTGAACTTTACCACCATAGAAAGGCTGGAACATAACACCTAAATCAAAGAGAGGCTTCCCCCAAAAAACACAAAGAAACAGAAAATACTTTGATTTACCTTTGTGTGGAAGATTATGTTGGCTGAGTACCCTGTGGTAGGACAGTTTATTACCACTTTGCCTCCTAATTCAATCCAAGGCACTGATATGATTGAGCGAGCATAAGCAGATGGTAAAGTGAAATCATAACGTTCTCCTATGTCTCCCAACAGAAGATTCACCTCTCCAACCATTGCAACACCAACGGACATTCCAGAAAAATTACTTTTGGTCCAAATTGAAGCATTTAAGCACATGTTACGACTTGGACATTCTGCATAGAATGCAGTTACTGGGGAGAAAATGCATACAAAAAACTCAAAAACACACACAAAAAAGAAAAGAGACAGAAAGAAATTCAAATTTTATTTCTTACCAGGTGGATGGTGTGAGACCTGCTCTGCTGTGTAGTGGACAAAATCTGCCTTATTATCTGGTTCTTGTACTCTCCAAGAACAATGAAATGTTTCACCAATAATTGGATTGTAGGGTTTTTTGGCAATTGAACAATCTCTTCCAATATGCAATGAGGTGAGGTACCACTCAACTACAGCCATCATTCTCATCTCTGGAGTAGAACTTTCCATTATCCTTAAAAGAAAACAGTTAAAATCAAGGGTTATTGTTACATTTCAATAAAATAAAAACAAAAAAAAAAGGGCTGAAAATATACTTACTTTAAAAATAAGTTTGGGTGACCCAGACAGTCAGCAAACATCTCAAGAAGAGAACGTCTCTCTAATATAAATGTTGGCAGAACCACTTTAGTGAGATCCATACCTAACTTTAATTGGGACAATAAATGTAATATGACAGACTTGTTTTCTTCAGCTTGGAATGTCCTCCCAGTTCCTCCACCACCAGCACGCACATCCTCCTCATCAGTCACTTGCTCATCTTCTTCCTGATGCTCATTTTCTTGCACCTTTCCTTTTAACTTCATTTGGTCTTCTTGTTCCTTTTCTTTTAGTCTTGTGTCATCTCTTTCACAAGGGCTTGAGTAATTTCCATCTACTTTAGCTGGAAGTAAAGATAAATTAGTTCCACAACATGTGTATTTTCTTACGCATCAAATAGAACTGCACAAGGAGTTTTTCTTATACCAAACTCGACAGGCGCTACTCTATTGGTTGGGTCGCTACGCCGTGCTGCAAGTTGGGTAGCTGATGGAGGTTGATGGTGACGTTCACTAGCACTGCAACATTAAATTTGAAATTAGAAAAATATCCTTTTCAAAATATTTGAATGTAATTTACATACTCCCTCGATAAGCACAATGCTCAAGAAGAGTTGCAAATTAAGGAGGTCTATAATACGAGCCTACAATTATGTTAAATCAAAATTATCAGGTGAAGTGGGAAATTTGCCTAAGTGCACGGCTTGGTTTCTTTTGACAGTTTATAGTGCTTCTTTCGTAATATTAAAAAAAAAGACCATAGAAATAAGTATTAGCTGTAAATTATAATATAACCAACACACAAAGCTGAATTGAAGTAGCTAGACAAGACAAAAATGGAGTATAGGAGCCAGTTACTTCTGCTGAAGATTGACAGATATTTCGCCAAGCGAAGTTTTCAAAGTTTGTTTCTTTAACTAGGGCACCATTCTCACTGAGTTTCAATTTACTGGGGATTCCTGCTCACTGTTATCAAAGGGGAATAAAGTCTGAAGTCATATGCTGAATGCTGCTGTTCAGAAAGGGGTATGTGACTCAGTGATTAACAAAAGCCATGCTATGAACTTGCTTCATTTATTTTTAACCCATACAATCAGATGATAAATATTATGAATAATGCTAAATTCAGTGAACAGACTAGTCATGACCCACAATTGTTGCATATCTCAAAAAAGCGTAACATTGTATATGGCAGGAAGACAACACAAGTGATAGGTTGACACTATAACTTAAAAACCTAAATAGATATTTATTGTACCAGAGAATAGGCAACAATTTGAGATTACCATGATTTATTGAACATGGGAGGAAACTGTGGATCAAACAGTGCAACAAAATTAGTTCAACCATTCATTGAGTATAACTTTTAGATGCTTTCTATTCTACATACTTTCCGTTTAAAAAAACTGAATAAAGACACTGTTTTGTTACTCATTGATCCTACTTCCTAGCACATGCCATGCAACATTTCTACAAATACTGATCAAAATGGTCAAACAAGTTGGAATTTGTGCTCTGAAATATGAGTTGCATAAGTATACCATACACATCAACATAAACACTACCAAAAAGTTTTGGATGAGAAAAAAGTATGGGAAGACACAAAGTTTACAGCAACGCGTGATGAAAATTGCATAGTTCCACAAAATACAAATCACACAAACAAAATCTTGTATAACAGTACAAAATCTATAAAAATGAGCAAGGATTAGCCACCAAGTGGAACAGTAAAATTATTTCCCACATCCCCTTTCTTCTACAAGTTTACAAATAAAATTATTTCGATATGAAATCAAAAACGTCAACAGCAACATTAGATCGAATAAACAAAAATATATTTGTGAGGCTCAGCCCCTATATTGAACAAAACATTGTTTTAAACCCATTTCAGAATGAACACTTTAACAACACACGAAACACCCAACAATCATTAATCATAGAGAGGTTGACCATTAAAATAATAAAAATCAAATATATTTGTACACACAAATCGTGGTTTGCTCTTAATAACATTGAAGTTTTGCAATTTGAAGCACACTTTCTAGATCAAGTGTATGAATTTCAAATTCAGCCAAACTTTAGTCTAAAAGCGCCTAAGCCACTAAGGCAGTCTCAATCATGATTTTAATTTTTTTTAAATTATCATAAAAATTTTGAGCTCATCTACAAGCTGCCAAACACTTGCCTGTGATGAGCAATGGAAGAACACCTGAAATTATTCAAAATGGCAAAAGAACTTCCCTCCTACCTGTGACTAGCACCTAAATGACTTACTAGTTATGACAGAAAAGACTTCAAATAATGCAGACATGACACATCCAAAAGTGGCCAAAGGTGAATGAAAAGTTTGACTTAATGTTTTAACAAGAAGCAAATTAAAAAGCTATCCACAGTCTGTTCTTATGTATGAAGTATATGTGAAATATGGGCACTAATAGTACCCCAAATTTAGAAATTACATGCATAAAAATGACAGAAGTAATAAGACAATTCAAAGAAAGCGATGAATAAAAATGGATGGCTGGGGTTGCGGCACAAAATGCTGTGCTTCATCAGTCTTACACCTCAAGAACTGATTTAAAAAAGTACTTGAGCAAAGCCTGAAGAGGTGTTTGGTTACCACCTACTTGGAAGAAGTAAATTACAATTCCATAGATAAAACGGAAGGTTTTTTTTGTGGGAACTCACTCAATCAACACTACATGAAAATAATTCATTGACATTAGATACAAATTTAGACAAATAAATAAGATGGATTGAAAAAAATTTGGATATAAATTGGACAAAGTATGGCATAGATAGCAAAACGAAAATGACATTCACCCATTAAATGTGATGATATGTATTTAAAACATTCACTTCTATGTTTACTACTTCATTCAAATCTTTGAGCAAGTCAGAAGGCATTGGTTGCTAGAGTAAATCAACTAAGAAATTCCAAAACTTTTTATCACAAAAGCTTCAGCAACATTTTACAAGACAGTCTTGCCAAAGCAGGGAGAGCAGTGTGTGAACACAACTCTGTGACATTCCAGACTTCCATACAACTCTCACTTTTGACAAGCATATTTCAATGAAAATTCAAAGCAATAACATTGAACAGTGGACACTGAAGAGTGGAGAAGAAGAAAAGTCAGACTGTAAACAGAAAGGAAATCTTATTTTGTGTATCATTGAAAACAACAAAAGCAGAAACGTATGGAAGTCTTCAAACAACTTATTGTCAATAGATTAAAATATTTGTACAAGGAAGGGAAAAGAGGAACTATCTAAAACACAAGCATGTATGTATAAGATTCCTAGGTATGTGTCTGTCATATAAACCAATGTTACAGTGCAATTGTTCATTAACTAGTATAAACTTGCTTTAAAAATACTATTAAAACATTGGTCCCAATATCAGTCCTGTCTAAAATTTCTACCAAATTATGAGACAAAGGTTAACAATCTGAAAATTCTTCTCTATTAAGATTCTGAAAAATATGTATTAGAAGGGTCAAGGTAAAATATGAATAAGCTTTTTAAAACAGTGGGTCACAAGAGTATAAGTTCAAACACACATTTTTTTCCTCTAAATAACTGCCTCAATACTTTACAGGTATACACTCCCATTCACTCAACCATCCATGCATGCATTCAATTGCAAAAGTATTTCTAAACACAAAAGGGGAAGGAAACAGACTCAAATATTCCTAGGCAAACTGCCGGTCAAGTATAGGAAACCTACACATCTAAGCCCCAGTTGATTTGGTATCTTCTAAATAATTGGCATTAAAAATTGATAAATTCTACATCACAATAAATATTTGCACAACAAACCTGAAACCCTCTGGCAATGAGACTGAATGCAATAAGAAATTGTATCTCAATACTGCATTGATACATACACTCTAATCTAAACTGCAACATACTCTAAAGAAAAAGTTAGATACAATAAAAAGAAAAAAAGAAATTAGAAACAAAGAAACAGATGATACCCCAATAAATGGTTGAAGGAGTTGGACTATGCATGTTGAAAGACACTACATATGGACAACAAATTAAAGTATCACTGCAATGGAATAAAAACAGAACGGCCACAAATAAAAACAAGTGCTGTGCCTTAAAATTTGTCAAAAGGAAACACAGGCCCAAGAAAAAGAGAAAAAGGAATCTATGATAAATAGGGTTAGCATGACTTATCACTGAAACCCAGATAACTGATGAGATCAAAATTGTTCTGTTTTCTGGTCACGAAATCAATGGGCCAATGGTAAAACTTGTAAGGAACACATTAGAGTTTTCATGAAGAAGACATTTCCCAAAAGACATTTTTCATAAAGAATGTCTTGTAATTATGGCACTAATTATGGACTGATAAACAATTGCAAATATCAGTTTTAGAATTTGAGTTAAATTCAGCACAGGTCAGTAAAATTACGTCACCACAAAAGGAATTCCTTTGCATGTGAAGTTGCCATAAATATCAATGATTTGTGAGGTGAGCTTGATGCTTCACACTGAATACATCTACTTGCATTACTTGAATTTTACTGTGATGCACTGGATGTACAAATACAATGGCATTAGGAACACAAAGATCTTTTTACCTGATGACTTTCTAGCTGAATATCACATTCAAGTATTTCATAGGCAGCAAAATTTGTCATAGCAAATGACGACTAATCAGGAATTGTAAATTTAGTTTTGAGAAACAGAGGGCTTTAACAATCTCCCTGTATTGTTCATTTGTATATACACATTCAGGATCTGAAGGCATGCACACCTTTCCTGAACATACAGTAATGCAATTAAAACAATTCCTAGCTTAGATGTCAATCATGTGCTTTCATTTGACTTTGAAACATGTCCAAGATCTTTTTTCAGACTTCGGGAATGCTTTAACTTCTTGAATTTTCCAGATCTGCAAAAAACAAATGCATGCACAACCAAATCAGAAGATTTTAACAGAGTTCACATTGAAACACGGAACTAACACATATGTTGAATGAGCACAATTTATCGATCGTATTCCGCTACGCTACAAATCAAGAAATAGTGACCAATAAAAGAGGATATTAACCGTTGAGAACATTTTCAAGGTTTAAATTCACAAACTGAATTTATAATTTAAGAAAATGATACAATTCCACCCCAAGACCAAATGGAACAAACAGTAGAAGAAAAATCCTGCAAGGCTAGTTCAATATTATTTTTTGTATGAGTTCATATTAGTAAAAGACATATTTTCCATTTCTTTTGATGAGTGAGACTTGTGCATCCACTATAAAAACATTTTCTGGATAACAAATATTTTTTTTAAAAAATAAGAAACTTAAAAAGTCACACTTGGTTTAACTTTACCTCAACTCACCAATAAATTGTTTCATAAAATTACACATCTTGTAAACTACAAAATTGAACCAAAAGAGTCAAATTTTGATCTACACAAACACCATGCGTTCTCTCTCTCCCTCTCTTTTTTTCTACCTTGAATAAAACGTAATTTTAAGTTGTTTTTTATTCCTTAACAAAAGCGTCATTTCCCGATAATGAAGTACCCATGAGTCTGAACTGTTCAAATGTATTGTAGAAGTGTCATTGAATTTTAAGTAGAAACCTACAGCCGTGCACCCTTTAGGGAACGTTCAAGTGTTGAAATTACAATACTACTAATTTTTGATGGAAACTGAAGCAATGTAAACAAGTAAAAATGTACACACCAGTCAACTTAGTTGCATTCTGTTTACTGTGTATGTTTACCTGCTTTTCCACCTGAAAGAGATCATTTATTACTTAGATAAGGACCAATCACACTCACCTTTTTTTCCCTTCAAAATGAGAGGGTGAGGCGGGCGTATGAGATGGAAGGGAATTCTTTTTAGTAAGAGGTGGTTTTCCAGTGCTAGATAATGACTGAGATGACCCAGGAACTGTAGGAACTGGTGGTAGCGCAGGGGTAGAAGGAGGGGCCAATTGCTGTTGTTGCAATATAGAGAGGCAGTGACCCAAGCACTGCAATGTGGCACTTGTTGTAGCCTTCAAGACTAGAAGGTCTGCGTCAGAACTATGCATACCTGGACCTGAAAGAAAGATACATTAACAATAAAAATTAAGCAGGATTTAATTAATTAAACATTTAAAGAGATTTGGGACTGACAAATTCTCATATAATATGTGCCCTATTTTATTCTTCTAAGAATGTGGTAAGCATGACTACTTACCTGAAACTGGCAAGTCTTCAACAGCACGAACTAGAAGAGAGTTGCAATGCTCTGCCTTTTGAAGATGATCACGTACCATACTGAATGCATCTAGAAGTGCCATTGTGCAATGAACCAATGGGTTTGGAGTTGCTGATGATGTACCTAGTGTATGATGCTCCCTAGGAGGTAAAGGGGGATTGCTCTGGGGGTCAGGGGAGAGAGATTGATTCAAATTTAGAATGGGGCTCAGTAAAGATTCAGCTAAACAAATTAGCAGCAGTTAAAATACCTGAGCAATCGCTATGGTATGCATCTCAGCAACAGCTCGCAATCTATTAACCCAGTCTTGTCTAGCTCGAGCGTCACCAGCTCGTAGCTTGAAAAGCTCTCCACTGGTTGAGTTGACCGTAAAAGTATTTGAATCTTCATCACTAGGAGAAATTACAGCTGCGGCCAAGTGAATAGAGCCTCTCACCCTAGACTTGTGGTCAGAATCACTCTGCACAGGAAAGAAAAATCTTTCAATGGTCCACAAAGATTTCATTCAAACATCAAAACTTCTGTTCAGTTCCACACATACCAGAAAATAGCTCAATGTCCCCATTTCAGGATCCAAGACAAACCAACGATGCTGCCATCCTTTCATTACATTAGTATACTTGTATAGCTGGCCTTCAAACTGCTGGCGCAATTTATCAGAGTGCATGTCCATCCTATATGTAAATGACAGAAATTATTTGAAATGCAAATAACATAAAAAAAAGTAAATTTCGTGCAGAATGAGTCCAAAGAAAGATTAAATGCGAAATAAAATAATAACAGTCAACAAAACATCATGTCAAATTTGCCACCTGCCAATCAGACGATTTTGAGTAGGTTAGAAACATACTTACTTGATTAAAATTAGGTGATTAGATAAGTTGACCGTTACGAGTAAAAAGTGGAATGTAGAACTAGAAGACAGTCACTGAAAAAATTGACATTTCTGCTAAAGTAACTCAAAAGTTAAAAATGTTAACTTTTAAAACTGCACGTATTCGGCTTGTAAGCAGACATCGAGAAAAACATATCCAATGAGTTCATTCATAGAAAATTCAGCACAAACACAAACTGCAGCAGGTAATTGTGAATTAAAAGTCTTCTCATGGCAAATTTTTCACTAATTTTTGTTATTAAACTAATAATTGATAAGAGTGAAATACGACGAAAACCATTTTCAAGTGTGCGGGTGCGTTCCACAATGCCAAATGTCAGTTGCTGATGTTGGCTGGAGCAGACTACTCACAACGACCAGTAAGACCATAGACTACTCTGGCCGCAAAGCCAAAACGCACGAAGCCGGCACGTTGCTAATTGCTAATGTAGCGCTCCCGTCTTCCGGTTCCTTTTTAGTTTCTCTTCTTCTCGGCGTGATCAGGGGTCCGTCCTACATCGCTCAAAAATGACGTGAGTATCTGTACCTAGATTTTCGATCCTTAGGTTTTTCGTGTTTTAATTATAGGTTTTATGTAAAGCCATGAACGAGGGTTCATATCGTTCAATATTTAGCTTGCTGTTAAAGTTTTATTGTTGTGGTGCCATTAGATGGCCAGGTTAGGCCGGTCGTCTTGGTCATGATTCCAGCAACAACTTTGTTTCTCAGATGTGTGAACTATTCAGTTACTCATTAATGTTTCATGAATTATTCGTTATCCTTACCCCGTTGTGACTATCAATGCTTTGTTTGACGTTACGTACATGCCCGGTGGGTCGGGTTAGGTTATCGGACGTTTGCATGTCACGTATGCCCACGCTAGGTATCGTACGCTGTAGCGTTGCGTTTCGGTTTCGAAGTCCGTTGGTTTCACTTCTTATTTTGATTCAGGTCGAAGGTGTCCAGGGATACATTCTACGAGTGCGTCAATGCAGTCCTGCAGCACTCCACTGAAAAGAAGAGGAACTTCCTCGAGACCGTGGAACTCCAAATCGGTCTGAAGAACTACGATCCCTCAAAGGACAAGCGTTTCTCTGGCACAGTCAAGTATGTGCATTTCACCTGACTTTCGGGCAATGTGTTATGATGCTCTTGTCAGGTACCTGGGCTTAACCTGGGGGACCTTCACCCAGGGTCTTAAATTATGTGGGGAGGTAGTGGCAACATTACCGCTATTATCTGGTCATTAGTAGGGTTTGTGGTAAGTCGAATCAAGCGCAATGTTTGATTCGTGAGTAGGTTGGTTGGTGTCATGATGATCGATACTTGTATTTCAATGCTCTAACATGCAAATTTAATTTGCAGGCTAAAGCACATTCCCAGGCCTAAGATGCAGGTCTGCATTCTTGGAGACCAGCAGCATTGTGATGAAGCTAAGGCCAACAATGTTCCTTTCATGGATGTTGAAGCTCTGAAGAAGCTGAACAAGAACAAGAAACTTGTGAAGAAGCTTGGTATGTATCCTTATTACCACTGATTTCAATCCTGAAAGGCATAACATAACGGGCAGTTCGTCAGTTCTTGACCCCCTGCCTTAAGAATCATGCCATAGTAAATTGAGTAGGGCTAACTATCACTGTCCTGTCTGATATGGTTGTGATAGTACACCCTAGTTCACAGATTGTCTTTTAATTTAATTTAGAGGTTTTCTAGTATCTCATTGCTCTATTCTGCATTTTCAGCCAAGCAGTATGATGCTTTCCTTGCCTCTGAGGCTTTGATCAAGCAGATCCCCCGTCTCTTGGGTCCTGGTCTTAACAAGGCTGGTAAATTCCCTGGTCTTCTTTCTCACCAAGAATCTATGATGGCCAAGATCGATGAAGTCAAGGCTACCATCAAGTTCCAGATGAAGAAGGTATGAAACTTATTTTTCTGATATGCAGCATAGTATGTGGAATTGTATCTAACCTTTCCCTTTACTTTTAGGTCTTGTGCTTGTCTGTTGCGGTTGGTCACGTCACCATGACCCCTGATGAGCTGGTCCAGAATGTCCATCTGTCAATCAACTTCCTCGTATCTCTCCTGAAGAAGCATTGGCAGAACGTCAGATCCCTGCACGTCAAGTCTTCAATGGGACCACCCCAGCGACTGTATTAAATTGGTGCTGCATTAAATGTTACCTATTCTAAATTACTTGGTCTTGGTTCAACCTATTTCAAACTTCCTTTCAAGCGCCCACTGAGGTCGGATGACCTTCTCGATCTTTCATTGAAGGCAACTAGTATGTTTGCTGTGATTCTGTATTTGAAAGACTTTATTTTAAGTTTCACATGTGCACAAGAGTTCTAGACCTACAGAATGTGGAAGACTTGTTGCCCTCTTTATTCTCATGTGGCGTTAAGGGATAGCTGTGCAGGCGGAATTGGCATTAATTGTCTAAACTGGATATGTGGTACAATTTGTATTGTCTTGCATTGCCGCTTAACCCTTTACTCCCTGCCACTTACATAGGACAGAAATTGCAAGAGAACGGACTCCCACCATATTTGGCCAAACACTTCATTTAACTTTTAAAGTGGGACCTGTGAAGCGATTTTAAAGTTGACACCATCATTCATTTATTTCCTTGAGCAAGGCACTACATGCTCTGTTGCAAATTTCAGAATGTCATGTCAGATGACTTAATCACAGAACTTAAGGATTTCTAATTAACACAATTCAAGTACATGAGAAATTGTTCCGGAAGAGCCGTCACGCCTTAGAAGACACCACGGATTGCGCTGCGGACCTTGCAGTGGCTTGCGGGCCCGGGGGTGGCTTCGAGACTAGGGGCGCGAGGGGTATGTCTGGGGCGGATGGCTCGAGCAGCAGCTGGTGGCAGCCGCAGCGCAGCGCGCGCCCGAGGCGGGGCAGGCCCACGTCCTGGTCGAGGGGCCCGGGACCGTCCACGGGCGGGGGCGGGTGTCATAACTCCAGGAGGCACACCCTCAGCGGGAAGGGGTGGCGGTGCAGGGAGCAGAGTGCCTGGTGGTGAGCGGCGGGGGCAGACCGAGTCAGGCGGAGGCTTGCCCTGGAGCTGCCACCCCCACCACTGCCCCCTAGCATGGGACCCAGCATGGGGCCCAACCTGAGGAGGTATTGCCACCCCGCCGCTGAACCGGCGCGCATTGCGGCGATGTACCTGTGGAAAAACAGAAACAGACAGCAGTGGAGATTTTAGGCACTGGCGGTCGCGACGCCGTATAGCTGGGCGCAGTTCGCGCACAGCACTGGGTACCCACCGCGAAGTCTCGCTCCACCAGCGCCGCGCGTCCCGACGCCGCACCTCCACGACGCTGCCGGGCGCGCGGCCACCGGCCACCCCGGGGGCGGGCAGCGCCACGCCCAGGGCCTCGCGCGCGGCCTGCATGTGCTGCTGGAAGCGCGGGCAGTCCTCCAGCACCACGGTGATCTCGGGCCCCTCGTGCGAGTCGTCCGACTCCCACGACATGTTGGAGGCGCGGCGGGGGCGCGGGGGGATGCGGTGCTGGCGGGCGCGGGAGGCGCGCGTGGGCGCGGACAGCCTCTCCACGTCGAGGGGGCCGCCCTTGCCCCGCCGCGCGCCCACCCCTCGCGCCCGCGCCTCCGCCTCCTCTCGCTCGCGCTTCTTGCGCGCGCGCTCCGCGGCCGTGGGCCGCCGCACCCCCGGCGCGCACCCGAACAGCCCGCGGGCCTCGGCCATCTTGATCATGTAGTTGGCGTCCATGCGCACGATCTCCTTGCGCTTGATGAGCGCCAGGAAGCAGCCCTCCTCAGAGGTGGTCAGGCAGCTGTCGCTGTGAGGACACATGTCGGGCAGGTTGCCTATCTCGAACAAGTCGCATGGCGGGACCTGAGAGCAGAACCATTAACTTTATACACGGAAACCACCCTGGGGTCTGTGAGATCTCTGGGAGAGAACGAACCTCCACCACTGGCGGAGCGGGTGTCGGTGGTGGAGGTGGCGGGGGTGGCTGCTCCGGGGCGGGGGTGGGTGTGGGTGCCTGCGCAGGGATCTCCACCGGAGGTGGGGCTGGGGTCTCCGTTGTTCCGCCCTCGGCTCCCTGGACCTGTCGGTCAGCACCCTCATCTGATGCGTCCACAACCTGATCGCAAAAAAAAAACAACACAATGTCTTTGAGTAAACAGCAAATAATACTTTCATGCTCGTTTTTAATAAGTGGATTTGTTACCCACCATGTCCTCTGGGGTCGGCTGGTCTTGTGCATCTTTGGGTGGCAGCGGGAGGGCCGGGGCTGCTGCGGGGTCAGGTTCGCCGGCCTCGCCCTCGCCGAGCACTGATGGCGCCGCTGAGGCCGTCGCGGTGCCTGGGGTGACGGGTCGCGGGTCGTCAGCCATAGCGGGGACATCTGGGGTCACGAGGGCAGGGGCGGCTGCAGCGACGCCCTGGTCCGCGGGCTCCTTTGCCTGCTTGGCGCTCCGCATCTTCTTCTTGGCGCCGGCGCGTCCTCGGCGGGCTTGTCCGCCTTGTCCGCCTTGTCCTTCTTGGCGCGCTCGCGCTTCTCGCCCTGCGCCATGCCGGGCACGTTCTGCTCGGCCTGCGCGGCGAGCGAGGCGAGCCAGGCCGCGCGGCGCTGCTCCTCTGCGTGTCGGTCGCGCGCCAGGGCGTTCATCTCCCGCACCAGGCGGCGCACCAGCCGCTCGTTCTCCACCGAGTACACCGAGTGCGTCTCGTACACGACGAACTGCACCTGCGGCTTGGCCATGGCGAGGCGGAGCGTGGCGGCCTGCTCCTGCAGCATGGCGCTGCCCGCGGTGCAGCTCCCGGCGCCGCCGCCACCACCGCCGGACTCCGTCAGCTGGTGCAGCATGCCGAGGTCTCCGCCCCGGCTGCACACCAGGTCCACCGGGTCCGTCACCGCCGAGTACGAGTTGGGCGGCGTGGCCAGCACGGCCACCACGTTGTCCAGGAGGCCACCGTCGTGCGCCGCGGCGTCGAGGAAGCGCTCCTCGAACACCTCGGCGTTTGTCACCCCGAGCTTGCGGAAGTAGGCCTGAGAAGCGTACCGCGTGACGGAGTAGTTGCGAACAAGTAAAAGAGGAATGCGACGTGTTCACCCCCTCGCCCCACCTTGTACTGCTGCTTGCGTGAGCCCGCGCCGAAGGCGAGCAGCGTGTCCACCTTGACGTTCTCGGCCAGGATGGCGGCCAGGTACGCGGTGGAGCGGGGCGAGTGGATGTGCGTCTGCGCCACGCAGCCCGTCAGGTCGTAGTCGGACAGCAGCTTGCTCACCATGGCCGGGCCGAAGTTGAACGCGCGGTCCTAGACGGGGAAGCGCAAAGCTGTAAGCGCGAGCGGGATGAGGAGCGCCCGGCGTCACGCGGCGAGTAGGCCGGCCGCCGCACTCGCGCGCCGCCCGGGTGGCCTACCACTCGCACCCCGTACCTGCAGGACGAGGTAGCACTTGCGCACGATGGCCGCCTGGGCCAGGTCGTCGCGCTGGTCGGGGTGGCACACGATCACGTTGGGCAGCACGGGGTCGAAGCGGAAGTCCTCGTGCGACACGGAGGCCGCCCCGTCCCGCGCCGCGTCCACGGTGAGCACACGCCCCGCGGGCCCGTCGTCCACCAGCCGTAGGCCTTGCCGCTCCAGACCCGCGGACACCTGCTGTTTGCTGATCACAAAGGCCGCCCCTTTTTTAGACAGTCCCCGCAAGACTGTCTCTACTAGAAGGTATTTTTTTAACACGTCGAGTCCCAGATGGGTGCGGCGTTTCCCAGCAACGCATGCGTCCACCACACGACGTGGGACTCATCGTGTGTAAAATCCCACTCGGTGCATCAGTTTTTGTGCGCACCCCGACCGCACCTGCTCCGGAACGTGTTGACCCAGCCGGTCACGAGGGCGTCCTCGTGGTTCACTATCCTGCCGTCCTGGAGGTGCGGGGGGAGCAGCTGCGACAACCGGAGCGCGCGCTTCTTCACCCTCAGCCTGGCCAGGGCGGCGGCGAGGTGCACGCGGGTCTGCAATCAGTGGGTGCTTGAAGTCCGTCCGGCCCGGCGCGCCCTCCACCGGCCCAGTATGGTCAGCTCGCTGCCTTACCTCCCAGAGGTCGTCGTCCATGTCAGCGAGGCCGGCGCTCGCCAGGGCCTGTCGGCTGCTGACCTGGTGGCCGCCGGGCGGCGGGGGCAGGTGCAGCTCCATGGCCTCTCGGGGGCGGAAGTGCCGCTTGTGCAGGTCGAACAGCAGCAGCCACGCGCGGGCCGGCTCACCCGCATGCTGCACTGGCCGGAATGCAATGGTAGGAGAAATGATGGTTTTAAAACGTTACCGTCTCGTCAAGTTCAGTATATCGCACCTGTGGAAACTGCACGAAGAACCCGCAGTCCTCCAGAGCCTGCTGCAAAACATTTTTATCTGAAACAAAAAATATTCGCGTTGCCCTTTTTGTTGATGGCCGATGGTTGGATACCATGGAGGTCGCTACGGATGAATTCTTACACCGGAACACGTCGTAGGCCAGGGCGAAGACCCTCCGCATCTCCGCCTCGTCGTCGAAGTCCACCGGCCTGGGCGGCAGGGCGAGGAGCAGGCCCGCCTTGGCCAGGTCCGCGCACGTCCATGGCGGCAGGGCGGCCTCCTGGGATGCCGTCGAACCGAGCGACGACGCGATGCTCAGCTGCGGCCCCGGGCGACGCGGCCGCTTCGCGAGGGGCTGCCAGTGCGTGGGGATGGGGGACAGCCCGCGCTCCGGCGGCCCCGTCACGACCCTGCGGAGCGAGCAGGCATGTCGGGTTGGGGTCGGGGGTGAGCAGTGGCGGCGGCCCCGGCCTGACCCTTCCTGCTGGCCTTGGCTGGAGGTGCATTCCGACCCTGACCCGCCCCGCCCAGCCCCACACGGGGCCCTAGGAACGACACCTCTCCGACCTGCCCAAGCCCCCTGTGACTGCAGCAGAACTATTCGCAGTGACGGATGGCGTGTCGGGCGGCCCTGGGCGTTAATAACTACATAAATGCCGTCAGAGGCCGGAAGGGGTTGGCGCGGGGAGGCGGTCGTGATGCTGGAGGAGGAGGAGGCGGAGGAGGAGGGGGAGGGCCGGGGGGAGAGGGGAGATAAGGGCGGACCTGTCGGCGTAGACGCGATCACATTTCCTGTTGAGACTGAAGGCTGAACGGCCGGCGAGACGTCGGACGGGGTGGCGGGGGCGGGGAGGGGTAGCAGCGGAGGGGGCCGGGGCAGTTGAACTGACAGGTCCGGAAACTTGCTTCGCGAGCTCGGGAGGCACTACGTTTCGGAAGCAGGGTGTCTTTCTCTCCAGCGCCTTGGCTTCTATATTACCAAGTCACGAAAAAAACAATAGCGTGTTAACCTGGAAACAATTTTCTCCGATCGCACACGGGCTTCTCTACTCGTGACATACGGGGTGGGGTCGACACGTGTGCCACGCCCGAGCGGGATCGTTACCGTGGCCATGCCTGCGCTTTTACTTACTTTCAGGCGCATTGCACTGGCGACGCGCCTGACACGAACACTCGGGGGTAGTTTTATGTCCGTCTTACGGACCGGACAATATTTTTCGTGGTGAACAGCCTGCGTAAATCGCGTAATTACAGCCGCATGCTGTCTCGCGTCCGAGGTGGATGATGACACGTACCCTGTCTACCAATGTGCTTACCAGGTGGATGACTCACACTTTCGTTTGACACGCGCGTCCGCCCCATTCCCCTCAAAAAGTAATAACAATAGTAATGATAATCGCAAATCCACGATTCCTGTGATGTTTCGACTGTTTCCCTCACTCACCTCCCGCCCCGCTGCTTCTGCGGCCGCGGCGCGGTCGCCAGAATAGGGAGAGCGACGGACACCCTGGAAACGCCCTGGGCGTTGTCGGGGACAAGGAGGGATTTGAAGCCCGCCAGGAGGTCCACGTCCACGTCCAAGTCCATGGCCAGGGTGTGCTCGCGTCAGGCAGGCGCGGATCGGAGCTTATGACGGGGGCGGCTTTAACGTGGCTGGAGGCGCGCCGCGGGCCGCGGGAGGCCGGCCGTGGGCGCTGGCGGGCTCGCCGTCTGCTCTCGAGCACCAATTACTGCACTTTGCACCGCGCCGAGCAGGGCCGCGGCCGCCGCCGCGCGGCCCTCGCGATGCGCCTCACCTGAGGGGGAGGGGCTTTGGAGGGTTGTTGTTGCAAGTGATTATGAATTTCGCGTCCGCGTCGGCGGCGCAGTCTAGCGGGTCCGCGCCCCGCGGGGGAGCGAGACGCAAGGCCGCGCCGGCCCGGACGCGACCCCTGACCCGGCCGTGCCGAGCCGCGCCGCTATGGAGATGGGCTGCTCGGTTCACGACGCGCCTGTTTGCACCAAGTTCGTTGCATGCATCCCCCTCCCCCTACCTCTCACACGGCGTCTTACTTGCGCGACGACGTTGGCAGGCGCCGGGGTTGCACTTTTAATGAGGAGTTGGAGCGTGAGAGTGCGCTCACATGGCCACCCCGTCTAGTGCAGCTACAGTATGCTGTGCCGCTCGTTGCCGCTCCGAGTGCCGCTCGCTATCCCCGAAGATTAAAATTTGTTGGATTTTTCTTTTTATTCACGTTTTTCTTCATCAATGTTGACGCAATCCAAGATTTAAACGACTTTAATTAAGGTGCTGATAGCTATTGCGTTCACAGGCAGTGGAAGGGGGGGGGATGGGAGTGGCAAGAGGCACAGCACACACGGAAACAAACTATTAGCTATGAAGCTAAAAAACAAACGTTACGTTTAGCTGCATAGATAATTTTTTAGCGATACAGCTGAAATTTTAGCTACATATCTACTTTTTTGTGACGCAGCCCCCCTTTTTTAGCTACATAGCTAAACGATTACTCATTCCTCAGATACTAGCAATTGTTTATCTAAGCCGCCAAACTTCTTTCTTTTCGGTGCAGCACCGCACTCGACATCTACTGGACAGCCCCTCTCTGCCCGCATGCCGCGGCCCCACGGGTGGTGTCCCCGACCTCCTCGCTCGATTTCGGCTTCTTCTCCTCCTCTTGTCAAAGGCGGCGCATCGTACACTTGTGGGCTTTACGGGGGACAGGGCGGAGGCCCTACATCAAACTCCCGCCCGGCCCCGGGCCGCCGGTAACACGGCACGGAGGAGGAGCCGCTTGTCTTGCGGTGTGTGATCGTTATCTGGGGAGCCCCTGCGAATGGCGGGGTAGGCCGCCCGCCGCGCTCGCGTGCGTGGCTGGCCCCGCGGCGGCCTACCTCGCCCCTGCAGCCCCGTGCAAGCCCGGGACTTCAGTCCGGCGAGCACGCGGAGCACGCCATGCGCACGCACAGGGGAGGGGAGCGGGAGGGGGCATCCTCTCTCTTCAGTGTTGCACCTGCCGACGCTTGCACGCCAACAACAAACCCTCCGGAAGCGCAAAGGTTATTCAACCGAAACTGTTTCTTTACTCGAACGCCCACTCGACTGCTTCCCCCACCTTCTCCCGCAACTGACACGTTCATTGCATGCGGCAAGGAGACACCTCGCATGGTGGGGAGAAGGGAGGGGCGGGTGGCGATATACGGGCTGAAAAGAAAATTAGATGAGAGACCAAAACACATCTGGACATGGTGATTTTTGTTGGCGGTAGCCCAATGCTAATGCTGGGGTTTTACAGGAATCCGGTGAAGGGCTTTGAGCCTGAGCGGCGTCCGCCCTGCCGCCTTCCGTCCCGTCCGGCGGGGAAGTTGCGGCTTTTCGAGTTTGGCGGTTCCTGAATGCCGAGGTGAGGGTCCGACCGGCGTCTTCTCCACGGAAGCCAGCGGGCTGATTGATTTACAGGGAGTGGGGAAGGGTGGGTGGTGGTGGGTGCGAAGCGAATGGGTCGGGGACAGGGGGAGGGGAGAAAAGCAATCGGCGAGTGCAAAGCCCATCCGAACCCCCAAATCCTTCTCGTCGGGCAGGTCATTGTTTAGGCAGTCCTAGCGCAGGAATAGGGGCTTCAAGAGGGCTAGGGGAACAGAAGCAGGTCCGCGCACTCTAAGAAAAAACGTAGCGCACGAATGTGGCTGATTTGCTAAAAAATAATTGCGAACTACAGTATCTTTTTTGTGGTGCCAAAATAAATCGTGTCGCAATTGCAAAGAAATTCCTTCGTATGCTTTCAAAGCAGCCAAATCGTTTTGCAAGGCTTTACCGCGGGGCAAAGCCTTCCGGCGCCCTTCCAGCGGACAGAGCCTTGTGGCCCGCGTGCCCACCGACCCCGTCCCGCGGCACCGACCCGCGCAGCGCCCTCGCCGCCCTCCGAAGGGCTTTCTAAAGGACGAGCACACGGCTGCGGGGGAGGAGGGGAGGGGAGGGGAGTGGAGGGCCCCGAAGGGGACCCACCCCCGACTGGATTGGCCGGGCCATGGCATATTGGGTCACGGGGTCACAAGGGGTCGCTCCGCTTCCCAGCAGCTCGTGTGGTTCGCCGGTGCGGACAATATCACTTTACCACACAAAATATATCGAGAGAGTAAAAAGAATGTGTCGTGCGGAGGCGATTTGTTCGCGGGCCGCACGCGTGTCTCCCAAGGTAGTGAACAAGAGAAGAGCTGCTCGTGGGGGCGGTCCACCCCTCGCTGGCGGCTTGCCTTCTCCTCGGCCGCACACCCGCCACCCCCGACCACCAACTAAAATGGGCCTTCACACGCAGACGTACGCCTCTGTGGCTGCCATAACTTTGCTTTTGTGTCTGCGGTGTTCCCGCGGCGACAAATGAGAGAGGCCCACTCCCACCCTCGCCGCTGTAGCGCCGCCACCACCCCTATGCTCTGAGGCACTACCCAAGGAGAACAGGATAATCTCAGGTACATCAAAATGACGTCAAATAGTCACGAAA